AGTTATCCCTTATACCTCGTACCAAACTAGCCCACAGGATATGACACATAATATGTTAATGATAGAATAAAGGGCAGTCCGGTGCATTAAGCCCCGCTACGCATAAGGTTTGGGGAAGGGCCGAACCATAAGAGTTTATTGTATGCAATCTTACCTTAAATTATTTTTACGACTCAATCCCATAACCTCTTGATTACATGATAGCAACTTTACCGGTTGCGTGAAAGTTCCACTCACGATTAATGACAGAATGATTTTGCTAATTAGGAAAAAAGATATAGACCGACCAACTCAATAATTAACCAGACCAATTAAATAAGAATGTCACAGTTTAATTAATTTGTCTTCATAATGATTTCTCCACTATAAAACAACCACAACCCTATCTTTTCTCAACACCAAACTTGGTTTTTGTACTATCCACTTAGCACAAAAAAAGAGAGAAAAAAAGAAGAAGCTAAGTTTAGTGAGTGTTCAAATGGCAGAAAACAAAGAAGAAGATGTTAAGCTTGGAGCTAACAAATTCAGAGAAACACAGCCATTAGGAACAGCTGCTCAAACAGATAAGGATTACAAAGAGCCACCACCAGCTCCTTTGTTTGAACCAGGGGAGTTATCATCATGGTCTTTTTACAGAGCTGGAATTGCAGAATTCATGGCTACTTTCTTGTTTTTGTACATCACTATCTTGACTGTTATGGGTCTTAAGAGATCTGATAGTCTGTGTAGTTCAGTTGGTATTCAAGGTGTTGCTTGGGCTTTTGGTGGTATGATCTTTGCTTTGGTTTACTGCACTGCTGGTATCTCAGGTTAGTTTTTTCCTTCCCATTTCTTGTTTTTTCGTAGTTATTTTTTTTAGCCGAGGGTCACCTCTCTACCAGACCCCACTTGTGGAAATACAAGTGGTTGTTGTTGTCGTTGTTATTGTTGTTTCTTAGTCATTATCTTGCTAAAGTTTTTTCCTTTTCTCTTATTATACTTCTAGTATAGCCTTTTGTGGCACCATATTTGAGCTTGTAGTTACTTATTTGAGCCTGTTTTTAGTAGTTTAAAACATGTTATTGGTTTACTTTACTATGTCAAAATTACAAGAATGGTCGATTCTTGTTGGTTCTAAGTCATTACCTTGCTAAAGCTTGTTCCTTTAAATTATGGCCTTTTGTGGCTGATTCTCTTTGTTTTCCCTTTATTTTGCTCACCATATTTTAGCTCGTAGTTACTTACTTTGTACTTGAATCATATTTTTGTCAACTAATTTAATTGATTCTTGAGTATTTATAAAAAGATTCAGTTTTTCCCTGTTTTAGAGGTTCAAGACATGTATTTGGTTTACTTGCTGTGTCTAAATTACAAGAATGGAGTTTTCCCTTCCATTCTTGTTGGTTCTTAGTCATTTGCCTTGCTCAAGCTTGTATCTTTACCTCTTTATACTTTAATACGACCTTTTGTGGCTAATCCTCCTTGCTTATTCTCTTTTGCTCACCATATTTGTGCTCTTAGTTACTTGCTTTGTATATCATACTTTTGTCAAGTAGTAATTAAATGGATTCTTGAATTTACTTGCAAAAAAGATCAGTTTTTTCCTGTTTTAGAGGTTGAGAACATGTTTAATGGTTTACTTTCTCTGTCTAAATTACAAAAAGGGGAGTCTTTTCCTTCTTTGATTTGCCTTTTGGACATATGGGGTTTATATATTTCTCTCTAAAACTGACTTATATTGTGTTTTGAAATAACAGGAGGACACATTAACCCAGCTGTGACCTTTGGATTGTTCTTGGCAAGGAAACTGTCCTTAACCAGGGCTGTTTTCTACATAGTGATGCAATGCCTTGGTGCAATCTGTGGTGCTGGTGTTGTGAAGGGATTCATGGTTGGTCCATACCAGAGACTTGGTGGTGGTGCTAATGTTGTTAACCCTGGTTACACCAAAGGTGATGGCCTTGGTGCTGAAATTATTGGCACTTTTGTCCTTGTTTACACTGTTTTCTCTGCTACTGATGCTAAGAGAAATGCCAGAGACTCACATGTTCCTGTAAGTATTCTATTGTAACTTCATATTTAACATGTTTTTGGTTCAATATCATTACTCTTTTGTGATATGAAATTGCTTATCTTGAAAATTTACCTGTTAGATTTAGTTTTCATTTGACCCTGTACTTGTACCTTTCCTAAGCCGAGGGTTTACCGGAAACAACCTCTCTGCCTTCTTGAAGGTAGGGGTAAGTTTTGCGTACACTCTACCCTCCCCAGACCCAACTTGTGAAATTACACTAGGGGTTTTTTTTGTTGCTGTTGTTGACCCTGTACTTGTAAGCTTTGGTATAGTGGGAACAGTGGCGAAGCTAGGAATTTCTCGTATTCAAATTTGAAAGAAGTGAAAAAAATTCCCGATAAAGGGTGTTCAATATGTGTTATATACTTCTAAAACATAATATTTTATCTATATACACAGTGCAATTTTTCGACGGGCGGTCGACTGACCACCCTTGTGACCATGTGACCATATGGCTAAGTAGAGAATTGGATGTAAATTCTACTTGAATCTGTTTTCCCACTTTCTTATCTGAATTCAGTATTACTTTGTGCAAAGGTCTTTTGGGGAAGCTGAAGTTGTGGGGGTGGGTGAGTGGATTGGTTTTAGGATAGAGTTTAAACAAAGTGAAATTTTTATTTTTATATTATCAGGAACTCAGGATGGCTATAAGTGACTGTCCATAATAATAAGAGTTTATACATTAATAGTATGAAAACTTTTTAAGCTACTATGGTAACTATTTATAAAATTATTTATAAAAAGTGAAATTAGTAACCGTGAGAAAAGGACATGATACCTACATGATATGTTAAATTAGACCGATAGTGTAAAAGTTATTGTATACAAAAGTTAAATTATTTAGGACAAGCGGTCTTACTTTTTTGGTGCAGCAAAAATGATGTCCATGCTAGCATGTGGCATGTTTGGTTTTGTTAGCAAGTGCTTTTAGTTGGTGTTGTGTGTTATCTTGGTGGGCACCCATGCCATTGAAAAATATGATATGAGTTTGGCTAAAGATGGTGATGTTCACGTGAATGAGCTACTGTAGGTTTGGCTCTTTTTGTTGGATGAAATAATGCAGGGATTCACCATATCATAATGTTGTGGTCCTAGTTGTGTTTGAAAGAATTCTCATCTACTCCAAAAAGGGTTTAAAATTTATTCTCTTTCTTTTAGAAAAGTTGAGAAAAGTTGTTGTAATGTGACCATGAGGTCACGGGTTCAAGCCGTGGAAACAGCCTCTTGATGTAGGGTAAGGCTGCGTACAATAGACCCTTGTGGTCCGGCCCTTCCTCGGACCCGCGCATAGTGAGAGCTTAGTGCACCGGGCTGCCTTTGTTTAGAGAAGTTGAGATTTGGGTCACAAGTCATGCTCTTTGGTTGTAGTATGAAACAATGAGTCCTTACCACCAATCTAACCAAACTAATAACATATAACTTGTGTGTTGACGATCATCTGTAGTTATCTTTTTGGTGATTTGACAATATAACTTTACACTGTTCAGCGTAGAGACATAAAAATTCTTATTAAAAACAAGACATCATTGTGAAAATTTTGGATGGTGTTGCAGATTTTGGCACCACTTCCCATTGGATTCGCGGTGTTCTTGGTTCATTTGGCCACTATTCCCATCACCGGAACTGGCATCAACCCTGCTAGGAGTCTTGGAGCTGCGATCATCTACAACACAGATCAGGCATGGGACGACCACGTAAGTGTTCAATCTAAATCTTAAGAAACATTTCTTTCTCTCAAGTTGGTGTGAACGTCATCGTTATTGTAACAAAAAAAAAAAAAAGAACAATATATCTTTTTTGTGGCATGGTAAAGAGCTATAGCTAACAAGTTGTAATTTGTTTTTGTTGATTTTCAACAGTGGATCTTTTGGGTTGGACCATTCATTGGAGCTGCACTTGCTGCAGTATACCACCAAATAATTATCAGAGCCATTCCATTCCACAAGTCTTCTTAAGTTTGCTCAAGAAGCCTTAGCTTTCTGAATTTTCAAGACTTTGTACCTTTTTTTTGGGGTTAAATTTTAATCCTCTCCTTCTGATGTATTTGTAATGTGGATTTTCTTGTGTTCAAATGTCTATTCTGTGTGTAAATTATCAGGTTATGTTGTATTGCACCCTATCAATGAAGGTTCTTTATTTTATCCTATTACTATTAGTACTCTTCCCCCTCCCCCTGGATTTGAACCAGTTAATGCTAAAGAATAGGTAGAGGTAGCAAAGTTGACAATAGTCTTAGGTTCAAATTTTAACTGTCACACACATAATTTTTTAATTTATGTCGGTGTGAGGTAATAGATACTCGATAGTATATGTCTATAGGAAGTTATGACCTATTTACCTATACAACAAAAGCTAAGCAGAGTGTATTGTTAATAAATGTATATTCACATACATAGTGTATTATATATATATATATATATAACATACCTGTATACTTTTTGGTAGGGAATGTAATTAATTTCGGCAGTTCAATTTATCTTCCATAAAATTATTTTTTATGGCCTTACTCTATCAATCACAAAAATAAAAAGAAGGAAAAAGGAAAATACATTTGGGGAATTAAATTCAATTTTCAAAAGGCTTTTACATATTTGTAATTGTAGATTATTGCACTTATTTTCTGGACCTTGCATTATTTTCATCAATATCCAACGACGACAATCGACCTTAATAATTCCTTTTGATATGAGTACTTACATGTAATTACGTTTTAAATGATTTGATAGTAAATTCTTTTTCACCTTGTCAGTTTAATAAAGTAAGACTTTAATAATAATAATAATATCAGAGTAATTTACCCATAATTTCATTAAGGTAAATATTATAATTATTCATAATAATATTAAGTTGATGGTGTAATTTTTGCGTGTAATCCACTCTAAAAAGAAACAAATAGTGGATTGCCTTTGCCTTTTTCCTTTGTTGTTTTATAGGTAAAATTCTTGGTTTTATCAATACCTCTGTGCCCAAGAAAGAAAATTTGTCTTTACTCTTTAAAACGTAATAATATAATATACTAGTAATATATTAGATTTCATATTTTATAGAAATAAAGAAGTAATTACAGCATTTCCTTGATCTACACTAATCAACAAGTCAACACTCCAAAGAAAAACTCAGAGCAAAAAAGATGTGGATTTTTGGAAGGAAAGGAGGATCTGGATTTTCAGCTTCTTCTACTGCTGAAGCAGTTACTCAAGGAATTGATGCTACTGGCCTCACTGCCATTGTTACAGGTTCCACCACCCCCCCCTTTTTTTTTTTTTCCCATTTTATCTTTTTGAAGTTTTTGTTTTTCTTCAATACCCATTTCCCTAATGTTTTGATTGACCAATTTGGTATCTGCTTTCTTTAGTTTTTTTTTCTTTTTCATTTGACTCTATTATTTTCTTATCTGTATACTGTATTAGTTCTCCACTTATTGTTTGTGGTAAAAGGAAATATGTTGAACTGTGCCTGCTACTTTAGTTTGTTATTGTTGCAAGAGGCCTTGGAAACAGTAAATGAAGGTTAAGGCTGCGTACAATAGACCTATGCGCGGGTCCTAGTGCATCGGGCTGCCCTTTTATTGTGTTTGTTGATATAAACTCGGTCCGTGTTTCCAAAGCATGGTTCTTTTTTAGCCCGGATAAAGGAGGAGGGTTGTGGTAAAATGATGGCCAATTTAATAATTGTCCAATATGATATGAAAAATTCTCTGAATTAATTTTGCTGGACGTGCTCGATATTCAATGAAAGTGGAATGGATAGAGAGGATTCATATAACTGAGTCTAACTAGCTCAGGATTGAGGTGTAGTTGATTGACTGTATTTATTGATATAACTATTAGTAGAAGTTAAATGTGAATATCAATGGCAAGAGATGATCATCTGGCAACTAACTAGCAGAGTTTCAAAATGAAATCCTTCTTACCTGTTGGCATTTTTTTTTTCCAATACTGCAACTGGGTGGTAGTAATTTGTCGCTGACATAGAAGATTTTGAATTGGGGAGTCTATGATTTTAATATTGTTTCATATAGATCTCTGAAATTACCAACTTATATAGCCCATGGAATGCCATGTTTCACGAGTGAAACAGCTATTATGCGATAGAACAAGATCTCCTATCTACTTTATTTTATGTTTTCATAATTACCAAGAGATTAAAACTCTATTGGTTTCAAGAATAAGTTTATTTTTCAGTAGAGTTTCATATTGCTTTTCGGGAATTTAAGAGGGTCATTTTGAATTTGGATTATTGCCTCTCCATTACTTACTAGCATATGCAATGCAAGCCGACCTAAGGCTTATTTTTGTCTGGATCTTTAAATTTTCAGGAGCATCAAGTGGTATTGGTGCAGAAACGACGCGTGTCTTTGCAATGCGTGGCGCACATGTAGTAATGGCAGTTCGCAATGTAAAAACTGGCGCAGAAGTTAAAGAAAGTATTCTTAAAGAGATTCCTCATGCCAAAATTGATGTAATGGAGTTGGATCTCAGTTCTATGGCATCCGTTAGGAAGTTTGCATCAGAGTATAACTCTTCTGGCCATCCTCTGAACATCCTAATGTAAGAAAATAGTCCTTTAACTGTTTTAAGGGTGCAATGCACAGTCATAATTGGACTTCTGCATTCATGTTTCGTCCATTGGCATAGCTTGGAATGAACATTGTCCACTCTGCCTTCCACCTTAATGCATGAATATTAAGAAATTAAATACCTCTTTTATTTTTGAAGCAATAATGCAGGGGTTATGGCTCCGCCATTCATGCTTTCTCAAGACAACATTGAATTGCAGTTTGCAACTAATCATCTAGGTAAATGAATTTATTTCTAATGTCTGTTTAACGTATCTTAGTTTAATATTCACATTCATGAAGAATTTTCAGAATACATAGTCATTCCTTGACATGGTAGTTGGTACAATACACGGATCCTTAGATTTGACATTTTATCATTTTGTTTTACTACTATTTTATGAAAATAGCATAATGGTGAGAGGTATATTCGTTGGCTTGTAGACGAGCTTTTTCATTAAGTTGAGCTTCTTGCTTCCATATCAAGGCTAGTTAGTGTTTGGGTCTTAGAAGAGGGGAGGTTCTCTGTTTGATGTATCTTATGGCTACACTTTTTAACCTACAAAGTCGTTTGTACTCAGAAATTGCGTCAAAACCTTTATGACTATAAAAGGTGAAACTGCTGCCATTGTATAACCAGTGTTTTAACGATATCAGTCTAAGAATGATCCACCTAACTTCGGGGAGATCATTCTTTTTTCTAATTATTATCTAAAATATTACATTTTACCAATAAATAAGAGACTGATCTTCTTGAAGTTACCCTGGCTTTATTTGTCAATAATCAGATGTGTACAGCCGTGTGTGTTTTGTTCTCTTGGACTTGTTAAAAACTAATAGGATGGTTTCAGGTTGAAGTACCGCCAATATAAGAAGACTAGTATTGTTTGTGCAGGTCATTTTCTTTTGACAAATCTTTTGCTAGAGAACCTGAAAAATACAGCTCAACAGAGCCACAAAGAAGGAAGGATTGTTAATGTTTCATCAATGGGACATAAGTTTACATACCGTGAAGGAATTCGCTTTGACAAAATCAATGACAAAGATAGGTAGTTCATGGTTGCCCTCTGGCCTCTTCATATTCTTACTACTATTCAATTTATCTCTGCTTTGATACTGGCACAACTTCAATGATAAAACATAGACGTAGCAGTTTTAGAGTCTGAAATATGAATTTTAATTTGAAGACTGGGTCTAAAAGTGGGGCTATATGTTACTTCTGATTTCTAGTTTGGATTTAGGTTGTTTATCAAAGAAAAAAAGAATGTGGCAAGTTAAGTTTTTGGACAGTAGACATTATTTTGGAGAAATCCGAAGTTGAAACAGTATTAATTCCTCGTTCTATCTTTTAATTTTCTTGCTATACTTGGTTTTGCAATATTCAATGTTGTTGTCAATGCTTCAAGTTTTTGTACTTCAGATTTGTTGGTTGACGAATATATAGGTGTCAGTTTTATTTAACAACCTGTTTGAAAGTAGAGCAGTATAAAACTGCAAATTATAACAGGAAAACAGAATGAAGAACCACGTACTGACACATTAGATTCAGGATCTGGCAGTGGATCTTTCTTTGAACAAGAGATTTGACGATAATTATTTGTCTATTTCAGTTACACTTCTTGGTATGCTTATGGACAATCAAAGCTTGCTAATATCTTACATGCTAATGAACTTGCAAGGCGTTTCAAGGTAAACTATTATCTTCTGGTTATTGAAGCTTCTCTTTAATTCTGCGACGGGTAACTAATTGAACATTTTAACATCCAGAGGAAACATTTAATTATATCAATTCGATCTTATGTCCATGTCTAGGCTCTTCTCACCAATTGACAGTTTCAAAGTGGCATTATTATTTAAAATATTTAAAATATAAATAAATAAAAAAGTGGAATTATTGTTTAATTTACTAAGATTGTACATTTCAACAGTTCCCACCATTTATGTGCAAGTTTTAGTTTTTCATTGATCATCATCCTGGTACCAAAGTGTAGGAACTAAAGTAATTCGTGAAAGAAGACCTTGCATCCATCCAAGTACATTATTCTTTCCCTTATTTTCAAGCCCCTTTCCTTAAGCTGCGGCAGCATGTTGCTAAGTTCTAGCTATAGATTTTGGTTCATTCTTGATATCCTGGGAGTATCACAGATAATCTTGTATCCTATACATCATTTTATGCAAAAAGGTCAGTTAATTTGAAATTGTTTTCCGAATAATGATACAACCCAAGAAATGTTCACAGACAATTAAGCGACAATTTTCTCATTTGAATGATGAAATTGTTATTGTGTCTCAGTAAGAGTAGATGACAATTTTTTCATCCATCATGTAAATTCATTTCGTAAAGGTCAATGCCACTTGTTCGATGTGAGTTTTGCCATGTGTTCGATATCTTGCAGTTTTGCAATCACCCTTAAAGGATTTTTTAAAAAAACAACAACAACCCAGTGAAAATCCCACAAGTGGGGTCTGGAAAAGATTAAAAAAAACATAGAGTAGAATAAGAGGGAAGAGCCTGTAGGCAGGTGTGAGGAATGGTGAGAGCCATTAGAAGTGCAGCTTCCTGAGTAGCTTCTCAGCCTTCAGTCGCTTGTTGGAAATTACAAGGTGAATAATTGCATTTGTCGTTTAGCTTGCCTGCCTAGAACCGAGTGTATTCTTAATAACCTTACAGAAGAATTCTCATAGTTCTACTTAGTTTTGTTATTTGTTTTACCTGGTCAGTAATTGCAAAAAAAAAAATGTAGTTTACATTCCTGAACTGACTCTGAGGACAATTTGGTACAGTATGTACATGAGCGACCATGTGCGACCGCTGTTGCAGTATAGCTAAATCTGAGTATTTCCTCATCGTACATAAACTTGTGAGTTCTTTTTCCTTGATAAGGTGCTTGGAGTGGGTTTCTGCTTTATAACACAAGAAAGATAGAAAAGATGACTTATTTTCCCAAAGTTCTCTTTTACCAATGGCTCAAGAAATCATGAATTCTTCCTATTCTAATCACGACTTTAAGTGCAACTTCTATCTCAAGCCTCAATGTTTGATTGTTTGGCGACCAGCTGTGGATCAGCAAACTTACTATTTGAATATTTTATTGTTGTTAGTTGTACCACTATAGATGATATTGTGCTACTTTCATGTGATACAACCTGACTTGAACATACCCACCCAAGGGAACATTATAGTCAATGAAATTATGAGTTTATGTTCAAGATGCCTAGGCACTTATGACACTGTTAATTCCCTGAAAGCAGGTTTCTACTAATTCTTTAAAAATGACGTTTAAAGCTGTCCTAGAAGGAATGCAGTATGATGAAGTCGATCTCTGTTCTTGTTAAGGATTTGCTCTAATGCTACTTGTCTTATAGGAAGAAGGACTGGAGATAACTGCAAATTCGCTTCACCCAGGGGCAATTAATACCAACCTCATGCGTCACCAGAATTTGATTGAAGGTAATTTTTTTCATCTTCCACAGTGTTTCTTATTGTTTTTATCGCATGTCTCATGAAATCGTAACCTTCAATCCTATTTTAAAAAACTACAACTGCGCTAGTATCTGTGTTTTGGTTGGTTTGACGAAAGTTAGGTTTGTTGCAACTCTCTTCAATTGAAGTTGCAAGACAATTGCATTAAAACTAATGTTTGATTTCGAACTTCTTGCAGGCATAGTTAACTGGATTGGCAAATATTTTATTAAAGATATTCCACAGGTGAGTAGTTTCTTGCAAATACATAAGATATAAACTGTCTGCCACAAGATTTTACATTTGTTTTCTTATATGTTTCTCCCTTGATTCTAGGGAGCGGCAACTACGTGCTATGTGGCTTTGCATCCTCAGGTGAAGGGGATAAGCGGTGAATATTTTTCGGACAGCAATGTTGCTACACCAACTTCTCATGCTACAGATACAGAATTGGCAAAGAAACTCTGGGATTTCAGCTTGAATTTGACAAACCCTCAGTAGAAACAACGACAACCTTGGTTTATAGATTCATAATTTCAGTATGTGATCATAGTGTGAATGTTCTTCACAAGTTCTCCTATTTGTCCTTTTTGTCTTTTCAAATACTTTTTGCTTCTTATGGACTATTGAAAGTAGAATGATGACTATCTTTATATACTCGTTAATTGACTATTGAAAGTAGCTGCACATACATCAAGATGACAAAGATTTGACCTTTTCGCGAAAAAGAAGAATGGATGAGAATCAATATGGGAATATTAGCCTATGTTGCTCGGACTCTTTGAAAATGTCACTGGGTGCATGTCGGATCTTCTAAAAGTAGTGCATTTTTGGAGGATCTGACACGGGTGCGGCAGGATTTTGGAGAGTCCGGTAACATAAATGTTTGGTCCTCCGCACTACGAAGAAGGGATGATTTAGAGAGGATTGCACCAACCAATGCTTCAATCTCATTCCTTGTTATTAGATAACAAAGTAAATTTCACCCCGAACGAAGAATGAAATGTATCATGCTTTAGCAAGCACTTATTCCTGTCAAAAAGCGAGACTTTACTAAACTATCCTAGTTCTCTATCTAGTAGTTAAGTACTAACAAGCAAAAAGATATATAGGCCTTACAACTATTTATGCAACTTTAGAAAATGAGAGGTATGAAGGCTAAACTGTGTATTTGATACTTCTTTTCAGCAGTTTATAGAAGCAAAATCAACTGATGGATGCCATTAGCCATCATTAGTCAAACACGCTTGTCCAACATACAAGGACACGGGATAAATGTTGATGGATGTCAGTGTTATCAAAGGCACGCTTAAAACGCGTTTAAGCCCTAAAGCGAGACTCAAAATATGTTGACCGCTTCGCGTCGCTTAGCTGGCGTTTCGGTATTGTCATCAAGACTCTAAGGCATACTTCTCCTTGCCAATGAGCATAATTCCGAAGAGGTTACACTAAACAATTGATATTTCACTTTAATGTAAATTTTCTTCAATTTCTTTGTCCATATATTTGGTATTGAACTACACATACTTATATGTAGTTTTTATCCATTTGCGTCTTTTCTTCATTAAAGCTCACGCTTTATTTGCGCTTTGTGCTAAAAGCCCCAACAGACGTTTTTCTGCGCTTCTCGCCTTTGATAACACTGATGGATGTCATTAGTCATCACAGGTCAAACATGCTTTATCTAAGACAAAAGGACATAGGATAAAAGTTGAAACCACATTCATGATTCAACTTCAAAAGTTTACTATTATTACTGAAAGTTGGATTAGACATGGCTTAAAGGGAACCATCATACAAGATACAATAGGCTTTTTGCTGAAAAGCTCAAACGAGTAGTAGAGAGCTTTACTATGAACAATTACCAATAAATTTTATACAAGCAAGCCTGAGATTCCCCAACTAGCCTTTAAAACCAGTCCACCCTGTACAGTAGTATGACCAATTTTTCATATCTGCCCTTCCTTGTATTTCAATCTGATGAAGAAAATATCTATATGCCAAGAGTTTGCAAACCAGGAGCCCAAAAGAAAGTGTGTTCCTAGTACCTCTCTATCATTCTGTGTCTCATGTAAGTGGAACCAAAACTATAAACTTCTCTGAACCAGCCGAATCATACGTCATTGTAATATACTGCTGCATGGCTCCTTGGGTGGTGATCTGGGGAGAACCAAAATAAACTAGATGGTCAAAAGTATCAAGGGAGTCGTGGAAACCATAAGCAAATGCTGTTACAGGTACAAGTAACTTACAATAGCAACTGACAGCAAATAAATTGATATTTTGTGACCGCCTTCTCCTTTCATCCGCCCTGAAACTTTTATTCAGTAAACCAGACTTTTTGGTATACTTACTGTACAATTGTTCCAAGTGATACTTCAAGCGCATCCATCCTTTTTCAGGTGGCTTTTACAGGTTAAACCCCATTATCCCGACCAAATACTGGAGAGCCAGGATTCAGGTCAAACGATGGGCCCAATTTTACTTGATCCCTCAGGAGCTGCTGCGCAACCCTATTAGCTAATACTGACTGTCCCTGATATGGTTGTTCAGTCACGCCCCTTTGAGCCGGGCCCCCAAAATTATCTCCAACAAAACCATTGTCAGATGGAAGTGTTTCTTGGATCAAATGGGATTGAGAAGTCCCTCGAAACATGTCAGGATTCAGATCGTGACTAGTTTCACCATTAGGGTGAAAGCTTCTTTGGGCCCTTGGTGAAGTTCCTATGCCTTCTGATGAATAGGTCATTGGGTTAAATAGTGGAGCAGCACCACCGCCACCACTAAGAGGTGTTGTTGAACCAGATACAGCACGGGGGCTTGATATGGTGGAGGGGGAGAGTTTCCCACTCATATGCTTAGGTGATTGTCCGAAGGCCTGAAATATCAAAAAACATGAAGTCAACCCACCAACACCCAAGGAAAACAATGAGTTTAGCAATGATCAGCCAGAGCTTATTTGCTTAATTTAAATCATGGTGCATACAGTCAGCAGAGTGTTCGTGAGTCCTAAAGGTGGCAGATAACATCACTAGTCCCCAGAAATGATTAAGAAGAGTTCCCCAGACAGAGAGTATCGAGTGTTACTGATGGTACCTACCACAAATGTAAAAGACAAACCTTTGAGAAAAAATGTGTTTTCCAAAAGGAGTGAGTACCAAAGAGGTTTCATATAACTGAATTTACACCAATCTACTGTTGCCCCAAAAGACGTAATGAACCTACTCAGCGCGCAACCAACCAATGTTCATTTGCAAGTGCTTAAGTGATATGAGACCCTCAAAAATTAATCATCCTTCTGAATTTGTTTTTGCTCATTTTTTTGGTTTCTGTAGCCTACTACCTTCAGACAGTAGAAAAAATTGTGTCTAGAAGAACTGTCCATATCATTTCAGAATGTCCTGTTCCTTTAAAGTCCTCAATTTCAAATACTAGTATATATCATCCTTGGATATAAATGCAGTATAGTTGGTTGCAAAATCTTCTAATATAGGTATTATAATTTCTATGTCAACCACAGTGAAACTCAAAAAAAAAAAAAAAAAAAAATCAAACTAGGGAATGTTCAAGAAGAAATGATAATGTCCTTGTGGAAGTCATGCTCACAGATAGACCAAAATCATGGAAGCAGGTACTGCATGTGTAGCTTTTAGTTGCACTGGAATGGCAAGACTGCCAGACGCACAAAGAAGGAAACCTTACCACTGATCTCACGGTAGGTATGAGTGGAGCTATTATTTCTGCAGATTCAGGACTTAGAATGGGTCTTTCCACTGGAACGGTACTCCTGACAAAGGGATGTTCCAAGAGCTGAGAAGCTGTTGGACGATGGAATGGGTTGCGTTGTAGACATTGCCACACAAAATCCTTGCCCTCACCTGAGAGGTGGTACGGCATCGCAGGAAGTTCCTTGCTGTTTCCAATCTTAAATATAGCAGCAACCTATTAAAAATGAATTAGAAGCACAACAAAACATTGAAACTGTTAAGCCTTTGGACCATCATAAACATATTTACTAACCCCCTCATACTGACTCCAAGGTGGTTTTGTCGTTGCCATCTCCAAAATTGTACATCCAAGGCTCCATATATCTACCGCAAGATTGCAACCACTTGAATTTTTAATAACCTGATTAATAAATTAATAAAATGAATTAGTTGAAACACAGAGCTAAACATTGATGAGATAAGAGCTTGAGTAATAGTAATGCAAACCTCAGGCGCCATCCAATAAGGACTTCCCTTGAAAGACAAAGGACAGTATTGACCAGTTATCTGCAAAATGTAACTGAGTTAGCTAATAAGACCTATACAGAATTATGAACAAACAAACATTTCTTCCTAACACCGACAGTCAGTGTTATCAAAGGCGAAAAGCGCAAAAAAGCTCTAACGTCCGTTGGGGCTTTAAGCGGAAAGCGCAAATAAAGCGTGGGCTTTTATGAAAAAAGGCGCAACTGGAGAAAAAGTAAAAGTATGTATATGTAATCTAAGACTAATAATTATACGTATGAATAACAAATATATGGACAAAGTAATTGCAAAAAATTTACGATAAAGTGAAATATCAATTGTTTAATGTCGCCTTTTCAGGATTACACTCATTGGCAAGGAAAACTATGCCTTAGAGCTTTGATGCGACACTAAAGCGCCCACAAAGCGAGGCGAAGCGCTCAACATGTTTTGAGCCTCGCTTCAGGGCTTAAGCGCGCCTTTGACAACACTGCCGACAGTTGAAACTCAAAAATCTTACAAGACCACGTTTTTTGGGGAAAGTGTACTTGGAAGAGATATAAAAGAAATCCTCCTAGTCAAACAATAGAGGACCAAACAGTTGTTATCCAGGTGCAACCCTAGAAATATGCTGTAAATTTAAGATTCTTTGTCCAGAACTTAGACGATTATTTATTATCATAAAACATATGAAAAGTTGACCCACAATCACTTCAAATTTATTGCTTCTGGAGTATTCCCATCTAAGACTGTAAAATTACCATGAATGGCCATATTTCAATTAAGTTACAATATAGCCTCCCAATTCCCAGAGTTAATAAGTATACACTCTTATGCAAATTTCAAGAGATTCTACAGCTTTTGATTCTTGGATTCTCAAAATTGAAAACTCAAAAACTTCATACGGTCCTTATGCATTTTCTCTAACTATTTTTAGGAAACTTTTGCAAGACTCCGGTATTCTCTCGCAACAGGTTTAGAAATAGTAACAATGAGTTCAATTTTAAAAAGGGACAACAGAGATTGTTATGGAACTAAAAGGAAACCTACAGATAGCAGGAATAAGACAATCAGAAAGCAGATCCTAGCACTGCCTAAGTAACAATAATGTTAGAGAAGAAAAAGTGCTTTCCGACCCATATGCAAAAGGTAGACAAACAAGAGCATGCTGCACAAAAAGATCATACATGTTTTGCCATCCCAAAATCTGCCAATTTAACGCGGCCATTTGGGTCAACCAGTATGTTTGCCCCTTTAATATCTCTGAACAAAATTAAAAACTACACATCAGTCATAAGACATATTAATATAGGTGCTCTAATAAAACCAATGCAAAAAAGGTTTGCCCACAAGTACTTTTTCAAGAATATACCTACCTATGCACTGTTTTTTTAGCATGCAAAAATGCAAGCCCTGACAGAATTTGTTTAGTATAACTTCGAATTGCTAGCTCTCCCAACT